CATACATACATACATACATACATACATACATACATACATACATACATACATACATACATACAGTCTAGTAAAATATAATGACACACTAAGCATTTCTTGTGTTTCACAGTTTTACTCCACCGATGGAAATGCAAAAGTTTTTATGATTTGTATGAACAATCCTTTATTTAAAGTTAAAATGTCTGCTTAACTCCCCTCCCTTTCATCAAATGTTTTAATATTACCTGGTAGTAATTAGTTTTTTGCTTTAATTGTTATTAGTGCTGTTTGGTACCTGTTCAAGATCTGTAAATTTGAAATTGAAATATGGAATTTCCCCAACCTCTAATTTTATTTAAATACAACTGCTTGGCTTTGTATTTTGTTAAGAACATTTGGCCCAACAGGTGTTCAAAAACTAAACAAACTTTTTGTTTGTTTTGCTTCTCAGTCCCATACTGCCACCAGTTTAAAATACGATGTCTGTAACCCAAAGAACCGGAGTTTCAACAAAACAGCTGAGGAAATAGAACTCGACGGGACTCTGGAATAACCCAAATGTTGAGGAGAAATGCTGTGTGGTGCCACATTTTGTCAAATAAATCTCGACAGGGATGAAAACAAATCCAGAGTTTTAAAGACAAAGTGCTAACATCTGTTGTTTCCAACCTTCCCACCAGTCTCAGAGGCACACGCATTAAGATGTGGAGAACATTGTCATTTATTTTGTTCACCACACTAATCCGGACCAGAGTAAGAAATCCCCACAACAAAGCTGGCTCCATCCAAATGTGTCTATGTTCATTTTAAATCATTACGTCGGTTTCTTAACCCGTCACATGGTCTGACACTTAGGAGTTTTACCAAACATYACACAAAAACACGAGAGGATTTTTATTCTGCCCTTGGTGACCAATATGTAAAACTCAACAATCCTCTGTTTCAGGGACTTCAGATTCAAGAACATTTGTTTGACCTTGTAGAATATGACTTCAAGCTTAGTAGTTCATTCCTCGTTTGTGGTTTTCAAAAGGTGCAGACACATAAATGCAGTATCTTCTTGGTTCATTCATTTGTTTGTGTTTCAGCATGACGAGGGCTCAAACTGCGGGGACCTTGGTGATAAAGGCCAGTACCTGATGTTTCCTTACGCCACAAATGAGGTGCATGACAACAATGAAAAATTCTCATCTTGCAGCATCAAACATATAAGCAAAATCTTGAGGCTGAAGAAGGACATCTGCTTTGTAGGTGAGAGACATGCATCAGACAGGAGCCATCTAAATGCTTCAGAGTTTATGTTGTATATTAACTGTAAATACTGTTTATTATGTAAGTTTGTCATACAACATTAAAGGTGCCAAGCCCACATATCCAAAGGTGCAGACAGAGACCAATCAACATTCTTTAAACATAGTGTCCTTTTTCTACCATGTCAGGCTTTTAAAGGGATCCCTGATTAGTTGTAACATTAGACTTTATTTGATAAACATATATTTTAACTGTAAAATAAAGACTGTAAAAATACTGTAAGC